AGTGCAGGGTCCACACTGCTCGCCTCGCACTGGACGAGATTGCGCGTGTCGATTTGAGTTCCAGGGGTTGTTGGTCATTTCATCAACGAGGGCCGGGCGTCCCGAGTGCACACTCATCAACGAGACTTCTTTATGAGCGTTGAATGGGGAAGGTGAATCGTGAGCAGAAGCAAATGACTTGCTGGCCTTATTGTAATTATTCCAGATCCCATCTCCCTTTTTTGACTTGGCCTCTCACGTCACACATTCATTCGCCATGTGCCCTTTGAATGCATGACCCGGCCTGTCCGTGAGTTGTAACAATCGACGCGATGAGACCTATCACTGGCTGAGGAGCCTCTCTCAAAGTCGAGTGGGTAAAGTCAGATGAAGGATTAAGGATTCGGGGGGGGAGGGGGGGGGGAGCCATCGGGAGGAGAGAAAAGGTGGTCAATGTGAAACGCAGGAACGGTCCCTGGAAATTATGTGATCAAAGTGGCGCTTCGGAATGGTTCGTTGGCACGCGAGGTTTTGTACAGATAATGAGATTGAATGAGATGGGGGGCGGTACGCCGGTTTCCGCCACTCAAGACTGCCGCCCGGCGCTGATGAGTGAGTGAGAGAGTCGAGACCTCCCGATCTACGAAAGTACACTGTAAACGACAAGCTCTGATGGGCGGAGGGAACGAGGTGGGCTCTAATTAGTGGGTGTGACGCTGGTGTTGGATTGGAGGGGGCTGTGGGTGGGATTTGATGAAAGTGAGATGTTTATTTTGCGAAACGATGAAACATTTTCCATGGGCATGAGATGCTATCGAAGTGAAGTATTTGTTCACCACGCTCTCCTTTACTAACTTATGCACGCCGGAGGGATCATCAACGTCGTGTCACCAGGCCAAGAGACGAACCCGTGTAGTGAGTTCTTCACAAACATGTTCATCGAGAGGACGCAGGTCCATACTCAAAACCCAACCCATCACCTCGCATGCAGTCCGCTGGGCGCTGTACTGCGTAATGAACATGCGTCACTCAGGACCATCGACTGGGTTACAAGTCACCACTTACAACGCGGTGAAATGGAGGGGGCCACGGGGGGCTGCACACGGCGCGGTACCATCCAATGAAGCGCAGGCCGGGAAGGGTAGGTACTTTGCAGTTTGGTTTGGCGTCGCTAGCCCGGGACAGCACCTCACTTGCTCCCCGGGCCCTGGACCCCTCCAGGAGATGTCTTAGTGTCGGCTTGCACGCTGTGCGAGATATTCGTTGGCTTGGGGGTGTTAATCGCTGAGGGTACTTGGACTGAAGTGCTGCACTGCGGTGCCTGCATGTTGCCTCCCGCGTCCTGCATGCTGCAGTCCAGGTTTAGGCTCAGCGGTTCGCACTCTCTTAGCACATCCAAGCAAATACTTATTGTCACGGTACTGTGTAAGTATGGCTACAGTCAACAGAGGTCCATGTCTGAACGTCGTCGGGGATGAAGCTCGGGAGAAAGCCCCGTCATTTGGCTGAGGCGTTGGCCCGTCGTCTGATGGCTGAGACGTACACAGGAGCAGTGGCGGACGGGCCCCTGGGCGGGGACTCGAGGAAGGCTCTAGCTTCTGCTTGACTGATGTCTTCCCTGGTTGTCTATTGTCTCTCTGTCCGTCTGGCACATGGACAGCCTGCTAAAGTCTGATGACAGTGACTGGCGTTCGATGTTCCCCGTCCGTGTCTGGGCCCTGGGACAGCGGCCGGGCTGGATCATGGATGTGAGGAGAGGGGATGTGTGGTGCCAGACGGACGCCCGATGAGACCCTATTCCGCCCAAGGTGCATGGTAAACTTGGCCCCAGAGGCTTGCATGTAAGGACATGTAAGGTACAGGTCCGCTCCTTGGTGATCTTCCCGCGGGACGAGTGGTAAGTGCCGGGTTATGTGGTTTTCCCATGTGGAGATGATGGAGAGTAGTGTAGCTCCCTCACTTCGTCTGTGATTCATCTTGGGGATTTGCGTTGAATTTTGTGGTATCGACTTTTAAGCCCTTGGATGTTTCTTGTTTTCTCGTTTTGTTTCTTCCTCTCCTCTTTTTTTCTTCTCCCTCTCGTCTGGTTCTTCAGTTTTGTCGACCACTTGTTCTTCTGTTGTCATTTCTTGATTTCAAGGAAGATTTGCTTTCTTGATCCTTTTCTCGAGGTCGTTGTTCATGGGGTCCAGCAACGTTTTGTTTGTGAATTGCCCTTTTCAGCCAGCCAGCCAGCCTGTGCTTCCGATTCCCTCCCCACCACCACGCCCATCATCCCGAGTCACGAAACGAGGAACGGCACTTGGCCTCTGAGACGGCCTGGCTTTGGACGTGTTGATTAGTCCAGAGTTTCTGTTTTCATATATCATCAGCTGGAAACACGACCGATAGTCCATTCATCGCTTGACGATAGCTTTGAGTCAGCCTCTTATTGTCGTTGATTCCGAGTCCCCGCCGGCATCGAGGAAAGTATATCGGAACTTTGAGAGATCTTGCCGGACTCCGCTGCATCATACCCACTCCGCCGAATTCGAACACGACTTGCGAGCGAGCCGGCACCTTGACGTTATTATTCGAATCGTATGCTATCGACACTGGAACCCATGGAAGACTGAAAGAAAGAAACCTGGAATTATTCATTGTCGTCGAAAAGGAAGCAAGAAGGTCCAAGTCTAGGTCCAGGTCCAGGATACCGCCAACTCCCAGGTGGTGCACACTCGAGCCCATCCCCGGTCACAGCGTTCGAAACGAGGAGAAATAGACCCCTCCACTTCTTTTCCCCGGCGAGTCGAAAAGGAAAACCAAAAGACAAATTCATGCGAAGAGAGAGGCGATAAGCATATTCAAGGAGATCCTATTCGGGAGCAGATCCGAAACATCAGACTGAAGTTGTGAAGCGCGGACGACAGCGACGCTGTAAGAGAGAGACAAGGGACGAGAGGCGCGGCGGGCTGTCATTGACTGCTCGGTCTGGTTCTTTTTTCCTGCGTCTGGAGTGTTTCTCAGTGGGAGTTTCTCGAGTTGAGAGAGGTCCGGGAGTCTCTTTTCGGTCGCCGAAGTAAGGGATATTTAACATCTTTGTGTCCGATTCCCTTGCAAGCCCTTGGGGATTCATTTTTTTGAGAAAGATCCAGGTGTAAGCAGCATTCGCTTTGCTTTGCTTTGCTTTCTCCCGTCTTTCGAAACGGTGCAACTAAAGTGGCAGCGTTAGCAGCAACAACAGCAGCATTGCTCGACCACGGACCGTTGCGACAACCGAGTCGACTACGGGCATACGACAAAGTCATCGAGCCGAGGGTGTTTCGCCAATTCCCCAAGCGAAAAGGAAAGAGTTTGGTCCGCGTCGCATCGCATTCAAGCCACTTCTTTGTGGTAATACTCCTCCGTGGTGTTGGGTGCACCGCGATTGGTGGGGTTGCAATCTCTTGACGGGCGGGCAGTCTGTGAGTGCTGGGTTCTTGGAAGAGGATTTGAGAGAGAAGAAGAAGCGAGTGGAGAGACGGACGACCCCTGGAGGGAAATTGCACTTGCGGCGTCTGCGGGTGCTTGATCGCCGTCGGCTGTCACTTTTGCCTTTCTTAGCACTTAACAGCTGGTGCTAAGAACAGGAAAGCTGACCTAAGAAAGAAGCGTCTTAGGTAAGGAGGCCAGCACCTCAAGCGAGAAGGACGAGCGAAAAAGTACAGCACTCTGTAAAAAGAGAGAGAAGCGACAAAAGATGTGGGACGCCTCTTCAGGTGAAAGTCGCGGTGGAGCGGGGGCGGGGCCAACCGCTATAACGGGCCTGCAATTAGAGGGCAGGGTGGGTCCGGGGACCGACGCCCTATCAAGGTCCCGGTCAGGTACCAACGGCGGTGCTGGTGCTGGTGCTGGTGCTGGTGCATTTGGTCCAGGTGTTGGCGGTGCTGGTGGTGCAATTGGCCGTCGGACGAACAGCCTGAAAACGACGGGCAGCCCTCAAAAGAAGTTGACGCCGCCGCCGCAGCTACGCGAGAGGAATCTTCTCAAGTCTGGTTCTGTCTCCGTCACCGGTTCTCTCTCTTCCGTCACCGGCTCCGTCACGCGCGAACGCGACCTGGAAGGTCACCTTGGACAACTTGGAGCTCATCCCTACCACCGCCAATCATCCACTTCAACATCCCAGCAGCCACAACACCAACACCACACGTCAACTTCCACGACAACACAACAAATCAGGGTGCATTTACGAGGAGGAGGAAGTGCCGGCCAACACCACCAGCAGTACCAACCCGTCCAGCCATATCAGTATCAGGTCCCCGGACAAAGAGGAGGAGGACCACCACCAGCTCCAACATCGGGAGCAGCATCTCGAAGTCGAGACACTATTGCCAACTACAACAGGCTCCGTCGCGAGATCCAGCACAGCTCCACGAGCACTTTGCACCACCAGAACTACTGGCCCGATAACTTTCGCAACCCGCGCGGCGGACTCGGCATCGAGCACAACAATAACAACAAAACAACCACCACGAGATCGAATTCGACAGCGACAAACCCGAGGAACGACACTCAGTCCGGAACCGGTGGCATCCAGAAACGTGCCCTCGAAGAGAGTGGTGTTGCTGAAGAGTGAGTATTTCCATACATTCCCTCCCCTTCCCCCCGAATACACCGTACGATCCACGATATTCCACCCAAAATGCACAATGCAATGTGACGAGAAGAAAGAGGAAAGAGCGGAAGAGAGCAGGAGAAGGCGAGAGAAATGGAAAGTCAACCACACCACACCAAGAGAAGGAGCAGCTTGGAGCTTGGACACCCGTTCCTGCCCGTTGCGATATTGACTTTTTCGCGCCCTTCTCCCACGCGCCTCCTCAACGAACTCAACGAAGCTCAAGCGGCGGCCAAGCTCAAGCTCAAGCTCAAACCAAAATCCCCCAAAGATTTCCGATATTCGCAATCGAACGCGCCCGCCACTCGCGCCTTCCGCCCGGCCAGATGAGGTGAAGCTCTTTTTCAAGGTTTCCTGGCGTCAAGGCCAGTCGTTCCATGGGCTCACCATGGCGGCAGCAACCTCGTCCTCGCGCATGCTCCTCGTCCATCGCGACTTTTCCCGCAACCTCGACCACGTCGCTGACACCTCGGCCTCCTTCTTTTGCAACCTCACTGCCCTTCAACATACTCTTGGAAACGCCTTTCAAAACGCTCTTGCTAACATCTCGCGCTCCCGCAGCACTCTCGACGACCTCCTTCCCCCGCGCAACCTATACAAGAACCACCGCGATACCTCTGGCGTCTGGCGCCCTGCTTCATCCATCTACTCCGACGGCGACAACTACACCTCCCCCATCTCGCCAAACTTCGCAAACGTGGCTGCCCGAAACACCTACACCTCCGCCGTGGCGGACATCTCTCCCCCGAGCTCTCCTGACATGGAAGCTCACAGAGACGGGTAAGTCGAGCCCAGTCATTCCTACCAAAAGGCGCAGTGTCGAGCAGCAACACAAAACGTTGGGTTTGTCTGAGAAGTCTTATTCTTCGCTCTCAAAACCCACGTGGAATGTGTCTTGTCTCGTCTCGCCTTTTTGGATAGTGATTCACTTGCAAGTCAACCAACCACCCACTAACCATGTGCCTCTACTTCAGAACCCCCACGCAGGGCCGCGGGAATGTCTCGCCCATGGACGAGAGCCCGGACATGTCGCAGCTCGATATCAACGGCGCCCATGGCCAAAACGACCAGCATCACCAGGCTCAGCAAAAGACGAATATCCCCATGATGCGCCGAGAACGTCGCAAGAATCAAGAAGCTGCGGCTCACACTCTCCGAGAGACCAAATCCCAGCAACGGCTGCGGATCCAGCGCGAGACCAAGTGGGATGATATGACGGGCGAACCCACGTCCCAGACCACGGGCCGTGCGGGTCAAGTCAGGCCACAAGAGTACGCCCAGGAGTTTGGTTCAAATTCGCAGTTCGGCAAGTCCCCGGCCGCAATGAGAGCCATGCAGAACGCACCACAGGCGCAGCAAACCTTTGGTGATCGTCTGCGAAGGTTGAGGCCCGTCGGCGGAAGCCCAAAGCAACAGCAACCCCAGCAGCCGCAGTCGCCGCGTCAGTCATCAACGACACCCGATGTCATTGACGAGCGCCCACCATGGCGAGGTGCAAGCGGACGAGCACCCATTGTGAGCCCAGTCCGTGACACGAAGCCTGCAGCACCTCTCAACATACCGCCCAAGAGCACCAGACGCGCCGCCGTTGGGCCTCGGCTGCCCATCGCAGGTGTCAATTCACCACTGTCCCCTGTCAGCCCCTCTGGATCTGAAACGTCACCGCGGTCGAGGACGCCCACCATCAGAACTGTCTTCAACGCTCCCCGCCAGCTGACTACTGCTTCTACCGCCTCATCTCCCTCCGCCGCTCGCACCCCTCCACCCGCACAGTCGGCATATCCCAGTCCTCCCGACTCGGGCGCTGGAGTCCAATCGCCCGGACATGCGACGCCCGAGGCCACTAATGACGCCAATGTCACGAAGAGACAACCCCCATCCCTGATGGGCCTGCCTTCTGCCCCTAATGCACATCTCGGCCTCGACAAGGCTATACGAAGAAAGCCTCCTCCTGCCAACTCGCATGCGCTTCACGCTCCGCAGCCCTCCTATTCTTCAAGTGTCTACTCAGAGCAGACTATTCACGCACCCGCCAGCACTCACGAAAAGTCGCCGCCGCGCGCTCCTGCAGTAGCACAACGCGAAGCTGCCGCTGCCGCTGCAGCCAAGCCGACTGACCCCTGGGCTCAGCCTCCCTCGAGATTCAGCGTCACTACATACGCGACTTCCGCCGATCCCGATACCCCTCGCGAATCCGCAGAGTCGGATCGGCCTCCGGTGCCTTCGCTCCCGACGCCACCGCAACAGCAAAAGGACGGTGTAATGAACCGCAGACGACCTCCTGTACTCAAGTCCACCAGCCCTTCCATCAACCCAGACCAGCCCATCGTCATCTCCATGTCGTCCCCCTACATGTCGGGCGCCTTCACCGAGGACACTTCGCCGCCGCCTGCCCGAACCCAGTTGCCCAGCCAAAAGCAGCCGCTGCCTAGAACGAGCTCTGCCAGCCTGTACAGCAACTCGAGCCGCCCGGAGTCGGTTTGGTCTACTAGCAAAGCCTTGCCTCCGCCGCCGACCGAGCTCTCGATGGTCAACGATCGCGTGGGCTACCTCAACGCTCGGTTGGAGTCGTTGGGCAATCGCCGCATCAACATCAACCAGGCCATTAAGCAAATGACAGAGCTCATGCCGACCGACAGTATCCTGGCCAGTGAGGCTGTCCTCAGGAAACGCGAGGCCGAGAAGCGCAAGGTGGAGGCTCTCAAGGTTGAGCTCGCTGAGGTTCAGCGTGAAGAGTACGAGATCGGCCTCAAGTTGCACAGAGCCTACAAGAGAATGGATCGCAATGCAGAATACGAGCCGACGACGCTCTGGGTGCGGAGAGTTACTGGCTAGCCAATCCTAGCCCGTCATGGTGAGAGGGAGAGTGAGTGAGTGAGAGCTTGTATGATATTTTCGGGCCCTGTTCATACCGGCACTTCGGACGGCTGCTTATTTTTGGTGCAGCTTGGGTCGCGGACACTAGCGGAAGCGTTTCAGAGGAGTTTACACTGTTGAAAAAAAGCTGGGCAGTACAGTGTATTGCGAGTACGGAGTTTGATGGCCCTGACTTGCGCTTTTTCCTTTGCATTGCCTTCTTTTGGGAATCAGGTTGCGATTAGGGCATGGTTAATGGGATGAATTGGGGCGTCTCTTGGCAGGTGAAGTTTTTGTTTCTATTCTTTTGTTTTTGATACCTATTTTTCTTTGAGAACTGTAGAACAGAATTCTAGAAACCCTTTTTCTCAATCACTCAAAAACCATCAACCCCAACCAGAGTTTGTCTGTCTCGTAGCTCACTGTGAAGCCGTTTGCTCGGTGACCCAATGTTTTGAAACAGTGAGGTGTTGGGATGGAGAGTGACGGCGCATAAAAATGTGGAGAGACAGTCGAGAGAATCCTGAAGGCTATAGATAGACTCGAAGGGTGTCGATGGGATTTCGCAGGCTCTGCTGAGACTTCTGAGTCAAGGAAAAAAAGATTCTGCAAGGGATTTCTAAAAGAGTGAGGTTTCTATCGTTCTGAAATGCTGGAAATCATAGCGACTCTCCGTACTTACTTTGAAGCTATCGTTCACGACATGGATTGACCTTGGCCATGGGTATCGTGAATGAAGAGCACAGAGAACGACAACCTGAAATTTGGGAATAGCGTCACCATGGACAGACGTCGAGCAAATGAACTTATGAAGTCGATTGTATAGAAGGGAGTACAGTCAATTATATAGAAGTAAGTAAGAAACAATATGATGTGATTTGAGTGATCTACCAACTGCGGCTCTATATGTCTTGATATCTCTCGACTATTCCACCTCTCCTTCAAATCCGAATCCAAATCTACATAACAAAGGGTCAGCAGCCGGCACCATCACACTTCTACATCCGATCTCATCATCACTCAACGACTTGAGCAACCCATGCCCAAGCCTCGGAGTCTTAAATCCACTTGCAACCTCTCCCCCTCTCACCCCACGACCTCCTCTCACAATCCCATCCAGTCCAGGTCCTCTAGCCGCATCAACACCATGAGATAACCTCGTCCCCTTAAACCCTCTATTCCTCCTCACAGCCAAAGCGCCAGCAAAGCCCGCAAGCACCGCCAAACATATCAAAACACCATACACGCCCACCAGAATCTTCATTCTGAACCGGAACCGTATCGCGGGCCGTGACCGTGTACACGGGTATAGATAGTTCTTCCTCGGATCGGACCCCCGTCCTCTGAATGCCCCGTCTGCTCATTTGTCTGGGCAGATGCTTGTTGCGGAAGTGGTGGACGAGGGCAAATGCGCGGCCAGCTGAGAGATGTCAGCTGAGTACTGAGCATTAAATGGGTATAACGTACATTATGCAACAAAATGTGAGCCGCTACCAGCACCTGCCGAGGCAAAAGTAAGTAGTGCCAATGATCAACGCCCCGATTGGGAACAGGCTACTTGTATTATTGGCAGGAAAGAGCCTGGTGCTCATCTTCAAAATATTATGTCGATTTTCCCGAAGAGATAAATTTCATTTAACTTGAGGTGGATATAATTCTAAGTGAATATCTTTTCATCGAAGAAAGCGAATTCTTTGTGAGTCATCTGTACAAGACTATAGTTTTGATAAAATAATATAGTACTTACTTGGCGCTTGATCAATTTGCTTTTTGGAGCTTGCTATGACACAAAGATGCTAACTGCTTCCCATCGAGATGGACATAATTCGATATAAAGATATTTCGAGATAGGGTACTTAGTTGCCAAGCGTGGGGATACGACCCGCTTCTACATTAGGCAGTAAGCCGAAGTGGGATGCGACTGCGACTGCAACTCTCTCTTCCCAAGGTACCTTAAGCTGCCCAAGTCAAGCTATTAAAAGGCAACCCTCCGGCCAATTTTGTTCCTTTTGGCTTCCTTACGTCAATTTTACAAACATCATGTCTATTCCAGATAACTACTATGTAATCGTGGAACCATACTTGGGACACGGAAACAAGACAGGAGACAAACAATACTTGGCACATATCCTGGAATCCTGGAGCGCCGACATCGACCCCGACAACGATATCGGTTGGGCCCTACACTGGGCTATCTTTCAAGCAGACGATGCCGCTGCCCAGATGATGATAGATGCTGGCGTGGACCCCAATACGCGAGACAAACAGGATCCCGGCTTCACACCACTCCTGGCCGCCTCGCAGCATGGCAGACTCGAGATGGCTCGTCTATTCTGGGAACGAGTCGGCCCTGACGGGCGCTTCATTCCAAAAAAGAGAGGCCAACCTGGACCCGACTGTTTACAAATCGCTGCCAGGAACAACCACGCAGATCTTACTGCCTACTTCCTCGGCGCCTGGGACGGTTGGGACGACCAAGAGATGCGGAGGGCGCTGCTTGACGCGGCATCAGCCTGGTGTGATGATACAGTGCCACTTCTTCTGGCTCATCCCGGCGCCACATACGGCCCCGAGGTTATCCAAGATGCTCTGGCAAGGGCGGTCGGCAAGAGGATGATTCTCCCCGAACGCGAAACAAAACCAGCACCAACCACTGCAGATGCTACACGTCAGCAAAAACTGGTCGGTCGCCTCATCGACGCAGGCGGAGATCCAGACGGTGAAGACCCCCGTTTCCATCAACCACTTATCCACGCCACAGTACATTCGCATGAGTGTATCGGCGGCCTCAGCGGCCTCCTGGAGAAGGGAGCGAACCCCAATCGTCCAGACGCTCGCGGGAGGACCGCTCTTCACTACGTGTTCAGTCCACTCAGTCGTCAGCTCCCCGACGCTACTGCTCTTGAGTTTCTTCTTAGGCACGGCGCGCTTCCTGATCTCAAAGACGAAGCTGGGGAGACACCGCTCCACGCCGCCGCGAAGACGGGAAGTTTCCCGCAGCTGGAAATCTGTCTTTCGCACTGCCGCGCGCCGAAGTCGGAGAGCATACAACTACGGAACGCTCACGGCGAATCGTTATTGCACTACGCCGCGTCAGGGGGGCAGAGAACCACGGTGGAATTCTTATTGAACTCCGGCCTGGACGCCAACGTAGCCAGCAGCAACGGATGGACGCCTCTCCTGTGCGCCCTATCTCCGACAGCGGGGAAGACCGCGCATGATATGTGCTTTACGACCGACTTTCTACTCCAGAATGGCGCCAGCGCTGGCGTCGTGACGGACGAGGGATGGACCGTTCTTCATGCCTTGGCATCTTGGCCAGCAGTGCAAGATCCAGATCTCAGGGCAGAGGTAGCGAACCTCGCAAAAAGACTCATCGAGAGCGGCTCCCCCGTTGACGTCAAGTCGAGGGTCATTCGGAGCCCTTATACCACTTCTAACACTCTGCACGATGTCTGGGGTTTCCGCATGCGAGACTTTGTTCAGAGGGCTGTTCCATCGGCACAGGACCTGGGCCAAGCAGATAGCACTACGCCGCTGGCATGGGCCAGGAGATGCAAGTCGATGGATGTTGTAAACGTCTTGTCGGCGCACTTAGCCTCGGCTGGCGGTGAGAGTGCTTGATGTTAGCTACTTGGTAGGCATCCGTCTGCCTAAGAACCTCTTGGAAAGAAATCAAGGCTGGTATAGTCGAGGTACAGCTCCCAGATGCAAATATAAGCGTTGTGAAATATACTACAATAAATTATCTCTTGCCTGTCATTACCTTATTTGTTAAGGAAGAAGGAAATGCTTTCCTTTCCTCAACAGATGGCTTACCTCGCTCAGTAGAATGCATAAGTACTATAGCGAATTAGGGTCCTGAGCCTCTTGAAGCTTTCATCTTCTCCTCGCCATGTCTTCGAAGCCAACTCTCATGGTTCTCGGCCCTCACGCAAAGGGGTCTCGAGGGGTGAAGTCGTATTGACTTCCGTCAATCAAGAAGTTGACGGTTTGCGTGATGACGCCCCATGCCGGGTGAGCCATTCCGCCGCGCAGTAGCATCCCCGCGTTGTTGGGATCAAGATCTTGATTCCCCCCGTTGTTGACCGTGGCACCACCCTATCATCACGTCAGCTTTTCACCATCGAAACCCGGCATTCGGATACAGGAACTCACCGTCAGGATCAAGTTCAACCCCCGCGTGGCGAGGTACCCATCATCAAACAACATCCTGCTCCAACGCTGGAATCTCTCGAAGAAAGTCTGGTCGGCCGGCAACTGGTCACTCGGCAGGTCCGTCTCGGCTCCGACGTACCAGAGCTCCTCGTCGGGACACCCGAACCCGTCCCGCGTCGACGCCGTGTTCTCCACGCGCCACGCCTGCCCGGGCTGCGCGTCCGTGTCGTACCCGTGGAACACCTGCACCGACTGGATCCCGACGCGCGTGCGCCCGTCCACGTGCGCGATCCAGTTGGTCCTCTCGTTGACGTGGAAGTGGAACACGACGAAGCGCTCCTCGTTGCCCTCCGAGTTATCCCGGAACCTGTTCAGCTCGGAGCCCGTCGGAACGCCGGGCGTGTCGCCGATCCAGTAGGCCAGCTCGAGCATCGGACCGCCCTGGGCGTTGACGTGCTGCCAGCGCGCGTAGTGCAGGCTGAGCTCGTTGTTTAGGATGCCCTCGAGGATCGTGGACATATCCGGCCGGCCGGCGCCGATGTTTTGGAGCCAGGTTATATGGCGGGACGCAAGCGTCGAGAGCTGTAGATATTAGCAGGGAATCGAGGAGGGAAATCAGATTAGGAAGCTTCACTTACGTTCTTGGAATTCCTTGACAGATCACTCTCCTCCCGCTTGGTCACCGTAAGGAGCTGACAGAACGTGGTCTCCGTCCTTGCCGCCCGCCTCAACCCGGGCCCGGCATCAATGGGATTCATAAAGACATATCGCATCAGGGCGTTCGGGTCCATCCCCTCGTGATTCGCGTAGTACGTCCTGATGTTACCAGACTGCAGCTCCGTATCGTACGCCCCGGCAAATATCTCATCGTACACCAGGCTCAGGGGCTCCAGCATCGACTGGGACGCCGTGAGCAGCAGAGCGCCGAATAGGACCATCCTCGTGAACCGATCCTCTTCGCAGTCCGTGGCCCTGCCGTGAAGAGACCGGTACTCAGCGGCCTCGCGCTTGAGGTCGCGCTTGAGGTCGCGCTTGGTGAAAGTGTTGCCGAACATGCTGCCCTCGGACGGGTTCAGGATGGTCGCCGGGCACGTCGGGTTCTCCATGTACCCCTCGAGAAGAAGCTGGAACTCCTTATTCTGCTTCCCTCCAAAGGGGTCGTCGTCGCCGCGCGGGACGATGGGCTTGGGCGGCTCGCAGCAGTACGCCCTCGCGCCGCCAAAGCAGCCGTTCTCGGCGTTCATGCCGCCCACCTCGGTCGCCAGCTTGATCTGGCCGGCCGGGCAGCTGTCCTCGCAGATGAAGTCCTGGCTGAATCGCGGCGGGCTGCCCTTCTTCACCCAGTCGCACTTTGAAAAGTCTGACGGTTTGGGCTCCTGGCAGCAGTAGTGCTTCGTACCCGATATGCACGGCTGCTCGCCTCCCGCGGCGAGCCTGGACGAGAAGATCTTGTTCGGGTAGTCGGACGGGCAGTCCTGGTTGCACGTCGGCGCCTCGCCCACCCACTTGCACATCCCGTAGGACGCGGTGGCCGCCACGTTGGTGCAGCACGCGGCCTGGTGGGAGAAGTTGCAGCCGACGCGCAGCGAGCCGACCTTGACCTCGCCGTCCTCGCACCCGGGCTTGCAGACACCGCTGTTCCTGTGCCCGCGCCACTCGCAGGTGGGCATCGGCTGGTCGGCGGGGCAGCAGAGCTTGTCGACGCCGCCGTCGAGGCAGTTTTCACCGTTGAGCATGATCTCCTTGTGGCCGTTGCGCTGCACCGTCTTGAAGCCGGCCGGGCAGTCCTGGTAGCAGCCCGACCACCGGCACAGCTCCGCGACCTTGGGCGGCTCGGTGGAGGGCAAGGCCGGCACGAACTTGGGCGGGTCCATGACCTTGCGGCCGACGGCGGACGTCAGGGCCTTGATGTTGGTTCCGTCCTTGTCGTCCTGGCTCATGGCCCAGACCATGACGCCAGGGATGCACTGCCCGCGGATGATGTTGGACTTGAGCCTCCACGTCGCCAGGTCGTCGAAAGTCGTCCACTGGTCGCCCCACGTCACGGACTTGACGGCGGCCTCGCGGTGCAGCGTGGGCGTGAGGCTATTCTTGCTTACGATGTCG